CACATGGAGATAGCAACAAGTTCCTTCTCCAATACAATCACCATTTGTAGAGTGTTGAGTTGAATCACATCGTGTAGTAATTTCCATGCCCTTGGACCCGAATCATCCGCTTCCACAAGATCCTTGATGTGCTCGAACATCTCCTTTACGAGTTTGGGGTTGCATGGTCCAATACCGACCTCCGAGGGCAACTGTGGGCAGATTTACTGAATGGGCTCAATAGGGGAATATATCTTGGTGTACCGAAGGATTCCTGCTCCTGGATAAGTATGGATTGCGAAACCCGAAAGGTTTTGTATGCCCGAGGATGCGTCTTCTACGATTTTTTTTTTTCCGATGACTTCGAACGTGACAAGGAATGCCGCCACCGAGATCCTGATTGCTACAGTTGCTGAACGGAGTTTCACCACCCCTCAAAAACAAGCAGATGCAGCCAAAGAATATTATCCGCCCGACAGTGCAACAGCTGGATCTTCTATAGTTCGGCAGCTGTCTACATTACATCAGCAGTCGAACCATTGTTCGACTCCTATATTCCTTCGACACGTGCCAACAATACAATCACTTTGCTCTTCATTCCGCTCTTGCATCCTGCCACTACACTGGCTGCCTATAATTACGAGGAGCACCTGCGCCGACAAAAAATGGACGCAACATCAAATGACGGTGCCCGCCATCTACCATACGAAATTGACGACGATGATGTCGTCAAAGTTTGCCAATCGGCTGGGATCGAGCCGAAAACAATCAAGCCGGCCGTCTATGGCTCTGATGCTTACAAGTGGCGAGCAGCTATGGATGCAGAGGTAGCAGCTCCCGAGAAGCGGAAAACGTGGAAACTCGTTCCACGCGAAGCAGCACGCGGCAAGAAAATTCTTTCACACAAATGGGTCTTTCGCATAAAGACAAATGCAGTAGGTGAACCAAACAGATTCAAGGGGAGATGGGGCATTCGAGGTTTCGATCAAACCCATGGCATCGACTACGACCAGACTTTTGCTCAGGTCAGCCGCCATACCTCAGTTTGAATTCTTCTCGCCATTGCTGCCAATTGCCATCAGCCGCTTCGCCAACTGGACGTTAAAAATATGTTTTTATATGCAGACGTTGATGCAGATATTACGGCGACAGACTCCACATCTGCAAGTTACTTATATCGCTCTACGGCATCAAGCAAGATCCTTGCCTGTGGCAGCAGCATCTTCGACTTTTACTTTCACTCGACTTCATACAGCTGCCCCACGATCCTGGAATATAGAGACTCGGATTTCGGGGACACTGCATTCTTCTAGTCGCCTACGTGGACGACTTACTGTACACCAGCTCGTGCAACCATCTTCTGGCGCGAATGGAAACAAAAATCCAATAGATTCTCGACGTTACTACTCCCCCCACAGTTACTCGATTCCTTGGGCTAAACGTCGACTGCGGCGCCGATTCCATCTACCTTTCTGCAAGCAAGTACGTAGAAACACTTGCAAAAAAGTTCGCCATCGCTCCCATCGGCCTCACCACTCCTTATCGTCACATTCCAACCGAGCACACACCTAATACTCTCCCACTTACCGCCTCCGAGCATCAGCTTTGCCAGCAGCAGCTCGGGTGTCTTGTATTTGCAGCCGTTACATGCCGCCCAGACCTTGCCTACATCACAAGTCAGCTCGCACAGTACTTGCGCCGGCCTGAAGGGGAGAATTTGGCCGATCTTCGTCGAGCTCTCCAATATTTCATTTCTATTCGACTAATACTGCAACAAAATTTCGATTGATTGGATAGATTAATGTGGATCACGCTGCTGACCCCGACAACAGGCGTTCGCGTACATGGTTTATTTTCAAACTTGAACCAGGTGGTGCCATTTCTTGGAACTCAAAGAAACAAGAGGTCATCACACTTTCGTCAGCCGAAGCAGAATTCGTCACAACAAGTTCTGCAGTTCGCAAAGGACTCTATCTTCAATAGTTACTTCAAGAGGCGAAAATTGCAATAAACCATAACTTCAAGTTACTCTATGACAACCAGAGGGCAATAAGATTGCAAACAAGCCCGGCTTCGTCAACATGACAAAACAAATCGCCCTTCGATACTTCTTCATCAAGGACGAAATCGACAAAGGGAAGGTCATCTTGCTACCCTACATAAGAAATGGCAGTTGATTTCCTCACGAAGAAATTCCCACGCGGCAAATTTTAGTACTGCACCAACATGGTCGGAATTCTCAGAGTAGTACAATGAACTAAGCAAAGGCATACAAGGTGTTCTATGAGTTGTGGGTTCTACTCTCTAAGAGCGCATACCTGTCTAGCCTATAACTAGACATACATTAAAAATGTATAAGGGACACACCCCCTAGGCTAGACAAGGGGCAGTGCCTAGCAAGGGACACGAAACTCAGGGCGGCACTACTAGTCCAACCTCTGAGGCAAGGGTCTGAAGACCAGCCAGCAAGAGTACAAACTAGACAAGACTAACCCAGGGCGGCACTACTAGTCCAGCCACTAGAAAAAGGGCCACAAGGCCAATCAAAATAATATAAGGAAAAGTTTACAATCAGGGTCCTAGCAATTGATGAGCTACTGGAACTAGACCAAGCTGTATACAGTGCCGCTGATGACCTTTGGCGCCTTAGTATTTGACGAGATTTGGGTGAGTGCAAGTCATCAGGTACATGAGGCAGCCCACAAGCTCTGCGTACTGGCCACTAGGCTCAGCTGGCTTGTCAGGGACTGAAGCCGAAAGCCTGTAATCCACTGGCAGAGGGGTGGGCTGGGCGGAGAAGAACTGAAGGCCGAACCTCTGAAGGACCTGGATCACCAAGAGTGATGGTGCGCGCTGCTCTATCCCTGGAGATATGCAGCCCAAGGTAGCGGCGCAGCTCTCATAGGTCAGTAGAGGTGTGTCTCCTCAGAATCTCGCCCTTCACCGAGGCCATCGAGTCTCTGTCTTCTCAGCAGCTCAGCCTTCACTGAGGCCAATGCGTCTCTGTCTGCAGTAGCAAAGACCAGGTTGTCTACGTAGACTAGGATGTAGAACGGAGTCTGGCCAGAGCGAACGAAGAGAGACAGGTCAGCAGAGGACGGAAAGAACGGAAGGTCTGCTAGTATAGCACGCAGTATGTCGTGCCAATCACGGGGCGCCTACCGCAGACTATATACCAGGCGCCGGAGGAACCACTTGGTCCCAGGACGGAAAGAGCTAGAGAAGTCTGGCGGGCGGCGCTGGTAGGTCTGCTCATGCAGGCTGCCCTGGAGAAACGCTATGGAGAAGTCCAGTGAGTGAAGCTTGTAGTCGCATTGTGCTGTTATGTGAAGCTGCGCCCGAAGAGTGGTCATCTTCGGGGCCGGGGCGAAGGTCTGAAAGAAGTCAACACCCTCGCGCTGGCTGAAGCCTCTAGCAACGTAGCGCGCCTTGAACACCGGCGGCTCTCCAGGGTGGCGCTTCACCTTGAAGAGCCACCGTCCATTGACTACGTTCGTCCCAGGTAGGGGAGCTGCGTCGATGTAGGTGCTGGTGGATCTCCAAGATGTCATCTTTGCGTCCATGGCAGCTATCCACTGAGAGACCCATGGTCCCGAAGTCGGCTCAGTGCAGGTGCGAGGGGTCGGGATATAAAGAGCGTCTGGGTCACCCTTAGGGGCTAGCAGCATGAAGCAGAGATGAGGAGCGGCCTTGGACAGGAAAGCTAACTCTTACTGCCTTTCCTCTATAATGAAGAGGAGTGTTGAAGTATACTCAGCATAGTTACCATTTATGCATTCCTGATATTATACTTAGACTGTACTAGTAGCGCAATACCTCATATGGAAGGATGCGCGTGATAGCGTCAGCAGTAGCGAGTCAACGCGCGAACAATAGGTTCCGCGTATGGTCACCGAAGGGTAATGTACGCCACCCTGAGTCACACGAACAGTCACTAGTCACATCACGCGAATACTTGCGATACACTACGAACAAGCACATTCCGAATAGGTACTTCCTCGATTATAAATATCTATGTTATTGGGCTGAGAAGAAGCCCTTAGGATCTTTCCAGAGACTAAGTCCCAGTTGTACAAGATACTTGAGTAGTGCAGCGGAAGTTGAGTAGTTGAACCCTTGCACTAGTATGTGAGAGCAAGTGATTGATTAAAAGGAACAAGCATACAGCAATATATAGAAAATAGGGAAAGTAAAGCAGTTGTAGAATACAGTTGAAGGAACGGTTATCGAGTCACACATCGACTCGATGGTCGATTCGGTTACCATCCTTGCAGTTGTAACAGTCAGTCGCAACCTCCGGTTCGACCCTTCGAGTCTTTCGTCCTTTCGTGTTCTTTCGTCCTTTCGTGTTCTTTCGTCCTTTCGAGTTCTTTCGTCCTTTCGTGTTCTTTCGTCCAACCTCCTCGTGTAACCTCCGTTGACTCGCATATTCGATACGGCTTCACTCGAGTGTGATGTTGCACTTCAGAAACGCTTAAGTCTATGAGGTATTTCCAACATATGTATTATGCATGATTATTATCATTGTCATTTCGTATATTTCCAATACAAGGTGTAAAGTCTTCCGCTGAATTTTTACTATGGTTCCACCATATCTAGATCCTGACCACCCTAAACACGTTGTTGGAAATATCTCAAAGGACTTAAGCGTTTCTGAAGTGTAACACTACACTCGAGGAAGATCGCAACGGGTACGCGAGTCAACGGAGGTTACACGAGGGGAAGGACAAAGAACGCGAAGGGACTCGAAGGGTCGCAACTGGAGGTTGCGACTGACCGTTACAACAGCGCGGATGGTAACCGAAGCGACAATCGAGTCGCTGTGTGACTCGATAACCGTTCCTGCAACTGTATTCTACAACTGCTTTCTTATTTTCTATATATTGCTGTATGCTTGTTTCTTCAATCAATCACTTGTTCTCATATACTAGTACAAGGGTTCAACTGCCTCAACTTCCGCTGCACTACTCAAGTCTCATTCTACAACTGGGACTTAGACTCTGGAAAGATCCTAAGGGCTTTTCTCAGCCCAACATGGTATGAGAGCTGGTCAGAGACCAAACTCCCAGCAACTACGATCTACCTACAATGTGCAATTCAACGACTTCATTAATTACAAGCCATGGACAGCAAGGGCAAGAAGACCTCTACGGGCTCGCCCAGCGCCCAAGACATTCAACCCGGCAACTCTGGATTGCATACTTCAGGACTGCAAACCGAGACCGGCGCTGCTCAAGAAACAACAGGAAGAGCACCGAAAATGGTGACCCCATCACCTATTGGTGCAACCCTATGGCTTGCACTCGGCTTGTCGTCCTTGTTTGTGTGTGTGCATGCATGGCATGGAATGAATTGTGAGTCTATATCATTGCTATCCAGTGCTTGTGTGTGTGTTTGAATGGTGTATCACAATGTGGTTTGTGTTGGTCAAGACATTAGCGAGTTTTTACAACTCGCATGTCAAGTCGTCGTTTGTGTGTCGCATGTGTTTTTTCTATTTTGTCGAGTGTGAAGTGTCCATCGTGTCGCAGGTGTGTGCAGCAAGCCCCCATCAACTCAAGAATAATTTATCTTGCAGATCCAAGAACAAGAGCTCAAGATTTCAAGCCCAAGGGACGCGGATAAATATTTAAATAGTGAAAATAGTAACGTTTCTTCGTGTAGTGTTACATTTCACTTGGTGTAGCCCCTTGGAGGGTTGGTTTCGAGACTCTTCATGGTTGGGGACTCTGTGGTGGTGTACCACCAACCTGGACCTCGGCTCTTGGGGTATGTAGAGGCTGGGAACCATCTCCCTCTCGAACTCTTCTTGCTAAGTTTGTACTCCTAAGACTATAGTGGCTCCTATACCTCCTGCCATTTAAACCGCCATAGCGTCGTCAAATCTTCATGGAATTTCATGATTCAACTTGCTGCGGATAGATGACAGCAACGCGCTCCAGATCCAACTTAGAGATCACCATTTGATTCAGTGACCAGATCGTTATCAATATTTGAAGCCGTCTGACGGAAATCCGACTGTGCTCTCTATCTCTCATTATAGGCACATCTGAGCCTATTGTGATTATAACAAGTGGTATCAGAGCCCCTTGGAGCCTTCTCGACCATGCCTAGACCTGAGGAAGGGGGTGGCAGAGGTGCTGGAGGCAGAGAAGACGCCCAAGCACAAGGTCAACACCAAGATCCACCCGTTGCTCCGGTGCAACCTAGCCTTGGACCCTCTAGGGATGAGCCTAGAGTGTTTGGCCTTGACAAGTTCAACGGTGACAACTTTGCTGAGTGGTCCTTCAAGATGGAGAACATCTTTGACCACTATGATCTGCTGGAGGTGATGGAAGGAACGGAGAAGCGCCCCGAGAACGACCCGGAGAAGAGCCCGTGGGTGCGGAAGAGCGATCAAGGCTACCTTCTACTTGGGCAAGCGTTGGGGAGCAGCCAAATCCGTCACATCAAGCCTTTTCAGCGTGAACCAGCAAAGGGACCAAAGGCATGGGCTGCTCTCAAGGGTGTACACGCTCCTGCAACAGCGGCGGTGGCTGTGGTTTTGGAGCGGCAAATGGCCGCACTTCGAATTGACGAAGGCGAACTGGTGGAGGAAGGAGTGCAGAAATTCTTCGACTTGTTGACACGGCTCGAAGGAGCTGACCTGAACTACAGTGACCTTCAAAAGAAGACCAAGCTGCTGGCCTTACTTCCGGACTCATGGTCCTCGCTCATCATCAACCTAAATCGAGATCTGCCCCGTCTCTCACTCGAAGATGTGAAGCGGGAAATCTTACAAGAAGATTTCCGCCGTCGCGAATTGGCGGGTCCCGATGGTGCCAGAGTTGCAAGCATGGGCCGTGGGCACGGCCGTGGAAGGGGCAGAGGGCGAGGAGGCAGATTTGGCAGCAGTAACTTCAATGGAGGTCGTGGAAATGGAGGATATGGCAGCAACAACAATGGCTATGGGCGTGGGCGCGGTCGATTTGATGGCGAATGCCACTTTTGCCACAAGACCGGCCACATGTGGAGAGATTGCTTCAAACTACCTGATGGCTGGACCCCTTCTCAAGGCCAAGAGGGAAGAGGAGCAAGGGGAGGAAGAGGCAGAGGTCGTGGAGGCCGTGGTGGCCGTGGAGGCGAAGCGGCAAGCATGAAAGGTGGAGACTACGACAAGGACTCGAGTGAAGATCGATACCCGGGCCAATTCTTCTTTGTCTCCACGCAAGCGGCAGCTGCAGCAGGAGGTGTGGAAGGCTTTGAGGAGCCAGCTACAGTGGGAAAGGTCACCCTTCACTCTCTGGACTTTTGGGTGATCGATAGCGGCGCCACCTATAGCATGACACCTCGTGCGGACTTGCTCACCGAACTCGAACCGTCGCCGGTCAAGCATGTTACATCGGCTTTGGGGCAGCGAGCAGAGGTGAAAGGCATGGGCAAGGCCATGTTCAAGGGTGCTGATGGGAAGATGGTGGGCCTCAAGAACGTGCTTTGGGTGCCCAACCTAGCAGCCAATCTGATCTCTGTTCGGCGTTTGCAAAAGGCTGGCATGGACACATCTTCCAAGGGTTCCAAAACCTATACCGCGAGGCTTGGTGAGCGGAAGCTTTGGGACCTTCACGAGGACAGGGACATCTACAATGAGATGTGGCAAATCCCAGTGGTCCCCATGCCTAAGGGGAGGCAAGTGGCAGCAAGCGTCAGCACCAAGAGTGAAGCGGTTGGTGGCGGTGATCACGGAAAACAAAGTGACACCAAGAGTGACTCGAAGGAGTGCAACCTTGGAGAGACCAGCAAGGCGTGTGAACCCAAGGAGAGTGGTGCAGCAGCCAAAGGTGGTGGAAATGAGGAGGAGAAGCCTAAGATCAGCAAAGCAGCAGCGGCGAAGGAGCAAGGAGAGAGCTTGTGGGGCACGATTGCGAGTGCCGCTTTCTCCAACCCGACTTCCGCTACGGGAGAGTGTGATTGGCTGACCTTGCATCGGCGAATGGGGCATGTGGCATTGCCCATTTTGCAGCAGATATTTAAGCAAGAGATGGTCAGTGGGATACGTGTCAAGGGGGAGTCCAATGAGGTGCTTGCCTGTCCAACATGCATGCAAGCCAAGTTCACCCGCTACCCGTTCCATAGCTCGGAGACAACGGCGAAGGCACCACTTGATGAGGTGGTGATGGATGTGGTGGGCCCCTTGAAGCTTGGAGCTGCTGGAGCTGAGTACTTCCTCACCATTGTGGACGTCTACACTCGCATGACTTGGGTGTATGTGCTTCCCAAGAAGAGTGACGTAGCTGAAACGGTGAAGACCGATTGGTTGCCGATGGTGGAGCGGCAACAAGACCGGCTTGTGAAGGCGATTCGCACTGACCGTGGGGGAGAGTTCCTGAGCAAGGACTTCTCAACTTGGCTGAAGAAACAGGGCATAAGGCACTCTCTCACCATGCCCTACTCTCCTGCAATGAACGGCATCGCCGAGCGTGCGAATCGGACACTCACGGAGACGGCTCGGGGACTTCTCATTGAAGCCCATCTACCCAATCACTTTTGGCCGGATGCGGTGCGGCATGCTTGTGTGGCCAAGAACAGAGCCTTGACTCACGTGGGAGAAGACAAATGGGTGCCCTATATGGAGTGGATTGGAAGGAAGCCGAAGGTGGATATGCTTCGGGTGTTCGGGTGCATGTGCATGGCACTTGTGCCTAAGAAACTTCGGCACAACAAGCTTGATGCCAAGGCAACATGGGCCGTGCACCTGGGCATGGCTCAAAACAGCAAGGGATGGCTTCTTTGGGACCCATTTACCAAGAAGTTCTTGGTGAGCAGAGATTGCAAGTTCATGGAGAACTTACCGTACAAGGAGTGGAAGGCGGAGAATCAAGCGAAGATTGGTGTGCGGCTTGGAGAGGTGAAGAGTACCGGCTTGGAGCATGTGGAGCTGCCCTTGGAGCTGAGTAGCAGCAGCACAATCACGAGGCAATCTCCTCAAATGAATGGGGATGCGGAGGAGGAGGAGGTGCAGCAAGATGATGAGCGTGCACCGTCACTTCCGCCTCGTGCTACAAGTGCTCGTGGGAACCGACCAGATTTACCGCAACGCCATGAGAGCATTCAAGTCCCTGCAGCAGAGGAGGAAGGAAGGGGGAGAAGGAGGACTCAGCCCCCTAATAGGTTGAGCTATGACCGGCTTGGAGGACCAGCCAACTCAACCTTGACCGGTTCGGTTCTCATGCTAGGCGATGATGCGGAAGATGAAAGCGAGGAGTGTGCCTTTGCCTTCTTCTCTCCGGTGGAGATGCCGGGGGAGCCTACAAATCCCAAGGAGGCTTGGGAGGGCCCCAATGGGAAGGAGTGGAAGAAGGCCTCAGATGAAGAGATGGGGAGCATCATAGAGAACGACACATTTGACTTGGTGAACCTACCTCCGGGGCGGAAGGCGATCTCTTCCAAGTGGCTCTTCAAGCGCAAGACCGACGCCGACGGCAACATCGAGCGCTACAAGAGCAGACTTGTAGCCAAGGGGTATCAGCAGCAAGAGAAGAAGGACTACAATGAAGTGTATGCCCCTGTGGTGAAGGGTACAACCCTTCGAACCCTCTTCGCCGCGGCGGCCATCAAAGGATGGGTGGTGAAGCAAATGGATATAGTAACGGCCTTCCTCAACGGCGTTTTGGAGGAAGAGACCTTCATGGAGCAGCCAGAGGGGTACAATGATGGGAGTGGCAGAGTGTGGAAGCTGAAGAAAGCACTCTATGGCCTCAAGCAAGCTCCTAGGCAATGGTACATCAAGCTGCGGGAAGTCTTGGAGGCGATCGGCTTCACTCCCTCAACGGCCGATCAATCCTTGTTCATGCTTGGCGAGGGGGAGCAGAGGAGCTTCATGGTGGTTTATGTGGATGACATCCTCATATTCTCACCCTCCTCTGACCTTGTGAAGGAGGTGATGCTGAAGCTTCAAGACAAGTTCAAGTGCAAGACCCTTGGTGACGTCAACTACTACCTTGGGCTTCACATTGAGCGAGATGTGGAGAAGCGGTGGATGCGAGTGCATCAAAAGAAGTACTCGGAGGCCTTGGCTGCAAACTTTGGGAAGAGTGAAGGTCATGTGGCTACTCCTCTTCCCTCAGGGTTCAAGTGTGTGAAAGGACCAGCAGAGGAAAGTGTTGGTGAAGAGGAGAGGCGGCGTTTTCACTCCTTGGTGGGCAGCCTCATGTATGCGGCCGTTCACACAAGGCCGGATGCAGCCTTTGCTACCGGGCAGCTGGCTAGGGTTGTCCAATGCCCTAATGAAGAGCAGGTAGCAGCTGGAGAGAGGGTGGCCAAGTACCTTGGCCAAACAGCAACTGTTGGACTGCAATACTCCGCAGCGGCACAAAGGCGTCAAAAGGGTGCGGATGGAGTCGAACCCGGGAGGCTCTTTCTCACCGCCTTCTCTGATGCATCTTGGGCATCAGAACCAGAGGACATGACAAGTGTGGGAGGCTTCATCTGCTGTGTTGGTGGAGGGCCAACAGCTTGGGAGAGCAAGAAGCAAGTGGACCAAGCATTGAGCTCGGTGGAGTCCGAGTACATGGCACTCTTCCGTGCCATAAGAGAGGTTGTGTGGCAGCGAAGTTTGCTAGCTGAATTGGGGGAGGAGCAGCAAGGACCTACCCCACTCTACTGTGATAGCCAGGGTGCTATTGCATTGGCTAAGAACCCCGTTCTTCATGGCCTTACCAAGCACATGAAGGTGAAGTGGCATTGGGTGAGGAGCATGGTAACCGCGGGTGAAGTGGAGTTGCACTACGTGAAGACGACGGCGCAGCCAGCTGATATGATGACCAAGAGGCTGGTTGAGCAGCAGCATTGGAAGCGTTGCAAGCTTGCTGGGATGGCTCTGAACTAAGGGGAGCAGATTCTAAGGCCAACAATCCGATGGGGAGTTTGTTGGTGCAACCCTATGGCTTGCACTCGGCTTGTCGTCCTTGTTTGTGTGTGTGCATGCATGGCATGGAATGAATTGTGAGTCTATATCATTGCTATCCAGTGCTTGTGTGTGTGTTTGAATGGTGTATCACAATGTGGTTTGTGTTGGTCAAGACATTAGCGAGTTTTTACAACTCGCATGTCAAGTCGTCGTTTGTGTGTCGCATGTGTTTTTTCTATTTTGTTGAGTGTGAAGTGTCCATCGTGTCGCAGGTGTGTGCAGCAAGCCCCCATCAACTCAAGAATAATTTATCTTGCAGATCCAAGAACAAGAGCTCAAGATTTCAAGCCCAAGGGACGCGGATAAATATTTAAATAGTGAAAATAGTAACGTTACTTCGTGTAGTGTTACATTTCACTTGGTGTAGCCCCTTGGAGGGTTGGTTTCGAGACTCTTCATGGTTGGGGACTCTGTGGTGGTGTACCACCAACCTGGACCTCGGCTCTTGGGGTATGTAGAGGCTGGGAACCATCTCCCTCTCGAACTCTTCTTGCTAAGTTTGTACTCCTAAGACTATAGTGGCTCCTATACCTCCTGCCAGTCAAACCGCCATAGCGTCGTCAAATCTTCATGGAATTTCATGATTCCACTTGCTGCGGATAGACGACAGCAACGCGCTCCAGATCCAACTTAGAGATCACCGTTTGATTCAGTGACCAGATCGTTATCAATATTTGAAGCCGTCTGACGGAAATCCGACTGTGCTCTCTATCTCACATTATAGGCACATCTGAGCCTATTGTGATTATAACATCACCCTCTTCAAGCGTGGATCCGAATCTTATGGAAAGGTTCTTCAGCTTCATGTCGCACTTCGAGCAGCAGCAGCAGACAAGGACACCTGCGCATTCAACACAGAGCAACGGAGGAAACATGGGATTAGCGCCGATGAGCCTCGACAATTCATCGTTCGGGCGACACAATCAAGCGCCTACCTTTGCGCCTTATCACTCTTCACCGGGGACGTTCGAGTTCATGCCGCCCCGTGCCCAACCAACAGCAACTGCATCACAACAAACACCAAACGAGATCTTAAGTCTCCAGGCGCAGTTTTCACACGTGATTAAACTGCAGACATCATCACCATTCAACGGACACGATTTCTTTACCTGGAGTTTTGAGTTCGAGCTGCTGATGGAGGCTGCGCATCTCCTGGGATACTTCAACGGGTCCCTGCCATTCCCAAGCAACGGCACTGCAAAAGAGCAAGAAATATTTACTTATCAGTCGCTGCTGGCGTACACAGTTCTCCTGCGGAATCTGTCACCACAAGAACAGCAGAGCATCAGAACATATCGGAGCTATGGAAACTCCGCGGAACTCGCATGGCATCATCTCAAGTGTCTCTATCAAGCAAACGACAGCGTGACACAAAGCAGACTCATGCAACAACTGACAACAATACAGATGAAGACCGGGGAAAAGGCGATGCAGTATATGAGTCGCTGCCAGACACTCCGCGACCGCCTGCTTCGATGCGGAGGAACAATCACTGAGGAAAGCTTCGTGACGCTTGTCCTCGCCAGGCTCGGACCAGAATGGAGAACCACCCGCTCGCTTCTTCGCGCCCACGGAAGGATCTCGGAGATGCATCTCTGCGCCGAGCTTCACGCTGAACAACAGGAGATGGACCTCTTCGAAGAAAGATAACCAAGGAAGCAGCAGCAGTTAGTTTTCTACACTCAACGAAGGAACGACAACAACTACAATCGACGTGGCAAACAAGATCAACGCGACAACAGAGGACTTACCTTCGTGCCGCCGTTCTGCCACAACTGTCAGACTTCCGGACATTCCAAAGTCAACTACACACGTCCTCGTGTTTATCGCCCAGTAGACCCACACGTCGCCTCCACTCAAGAAAGCCCTCCAAGGCGCTCCTCCACATCTGCACAAGGGACACCGAACATCATTAACTGCATGGTACACATCGACAACTGCGCACCCGGATCACCACCCACCTACGCACCAGATGAAGAAGAACTTCCGCCGCCGCGCTCACAAGGACTTCAGGTCAACCCGACATACGCTGCGGTCGCCAACGCCGAACCCACCGGGCGAAATACCTGGTTCTTGGACAGCTGCTGCGGTCAACTCATGTGTTCTTCCGGACGCTTCGTGCAACGAGAGCGACGCCTCAACCGCGACGTCATCATCACCGTCGCCAACAACGAGAACCTGAAAACAAACAGACAAGGCGTGGTTCAGTTACAATCCATGGAGACAAATGTTATACTTCAACTCAACAAGGTCCTCATCGTCGACAACTTGGGATACAACTTCCTAAGCATAAGCCAGCTAATGGCAAAAGGGATTCACCTGGAGTGCGACTCCTACTCCAACGAGTTTCGCCTTTACCACGGGAAGGGCGGTCTCTTCATCGGTCGTGCTCTCCTGAAGTCCGGCGTCTTCGTGTTAGACTTCGTCCCCGACCGCGGTACTGCCGACAGCGACGGAATCGTGTCGTTCGCCGCCTGGACACACCCGCCGGATCTTGACCCCGACTTCGACCCTGACGGATTTTGGCACTCCAACGCCATACCTGCAACAGAGAGAACACGAGCATTAGCAGTCATCAGACAAGAACGACAAGTACCAGCAAGTGTCCCTTCTCAACCGTCACCTGCAGTAGCAGCAGCAGGACCCAGCCAAGTACCACCACCAGCGATCAGAGGACCGCCAACCGAAGCAGATCAACTTATGCCCATCACACGAGAAGTCTGTCGAAGTCCCGCCACAGTCGTCGCGTTCTTCTCCAACACCGACATATACCACCACTCGCCCGGCCATCGCGCTCCCGACGACATCTGGCACCAACGCCTCGGGCACCCTGCAAATAGTACAATACTACAAACCATCCAAGCCGAAGTGTTAGAACGCAACGCTCTCCTAACAACGAGCGGCCAAGAACTTCGACGACCACGCGCACGGTGCTTTACGTGCCCCGAAGCCGATCTTCCCCACCAGTCTTTCCCATCTCATCACAACCCAAGCGCACCTGCATACGCACCGATGGAAAAAGTCTACAGCGATATTTTAAACATGCCTCGAGAAGACACTGAAGCAGACTTCAACTATGTCATCACGTTTATCGACGCAACAACAAGATACGTCTGGCACTACAACCTCAAGACGCGCGATCAAGCCTTCGACGCCTTCACGACATGGCTACCCATCGCCGAACGAGAATCCGGAACCAAGCTCAAGAGCTTCCAGTCAGACGGTGCACTGGAATACCAGTCACAACGCTTCAGGACCTATCTAGCGGAAAGAGGAATCAGACGCCTGGTGTCTCTGCCCTACGCTCACCAGCAGCAGGGGATCGCAGAACGCATGAACCGGACCTTGCAGACGACGATGCGAAAGCTGCTCCTGGGGATGAGACTGCCCACCACACTGTGGCTAGACGCGATGACACTTGCAGTCCACCTGCACAACCTGTTGTCCTCGTCATCGCTTCCCAACAACGCATCACCGCACCTGCTGTGGACACAAAAAAGGGGCAGCACAAAATTACTTCGAGTCTTCGGCTGCATGGTACAGTACAGACCCCACACAGCCCGAGCAGGACGCTTCACTCAACGAGCTCGGTGGGGACTACACCTCGGCATCGCAAAACATTTTCACGCATGGAAAATCCTCGACATACAAGACAAAAATACAGTGGCATAACGTGATGTTCTCTTCTACGAGCGACTGGCGCTGCAGCACTACCTGGACAACATTGCCAACACACACGACACCACCGACGGCTTCACGGGCCTTCGTTCCTTCGCCGACCGTGCTGCCGAGGCTGACGCAGCAGAAGAAGACGTACCTGGAGCCTCGAAAGCTACCGGACCACTCCCTTTCTGTTCCGTACCTGTTCCACTCGACGAAGACAATCCTCTCGATAGTAACAACCTCGACACCTTTTACCACTTCGCTGACCAAGGTTACATTACACCCCACCCGGTCGACACAAATGTTTCAGAACGCATCGGCCCCAACTTCTTACCTGACCCAGAAGACGGTGACGAAGCAGCTTATTCCGGGAATGAAAATTCCCCTCGACACACACCCACGGGACTGCAGATCCTCGGCCTCTGGGTCTCCGTCCAGCATCCGCCGCCGCCATCTCCGCGCGAGCCCTCGACTTTGTCGCAGGCTCTGGGGGGGGAACATAAGGCGAAATGGAAGGAAGCGATGGAAAAGGAACTAAAGGCTCTGCAAGACCGAAATACATGGAAGCTGGTACCTGCAACAAGCATCAACGGGAAGAACGTCCTCTCAGGAAAATGGGTGTACCGCATCAAGACCAACGCAGACGGCTCCATCGAACGATTCAAAGCTCGATGGGTCGTACGAGGCTTCGATCAACGATACGGAACCGACTACACAGAAACTTTTGCCCCAGTCTCCCGTCACACCTCCCTGCGCATCCTACTCGCCGTCGCGGCCACGAAGAAACTACCACTGTGCCAAATCAACGTCGCAAATGCTTTTCTGTACGCACCTGTGGACGCCGAAATCTTCGTCGAGCAGCCCCACGGTTTCATCGACGACCCTACAAAAGTATGCCAGCTGATAAAATCCCTCTACGGGATCAAACAAGCTCCGCGGCTGTGGCAGCAGCATCTTCACGGCCGCCTCGTCAGAATCGGCTTCCTACAACTGGCGCACGACCAAGGCATGTATCGACCATAAAAGGAAGGAGCCTTTATCCTTCTCATCGTCTACGTCGACGACCTGCTTTACATCGGCTCCACTACCGACATCGCCACTTGGTTCGAAGGGGAGCTGAAAGAAGACTTGACACTCACGGTGTCCGACGCAGTGACCCAGTACCTGGGACTCAATGTCGTCGAAGACAACTCGGCGTTCTACCTACACGCTGGAAAGTACGCAGGCACCGTCGCGAAGAAATTCGGTCTAACTCCGACTACGGTCCCAACTCCCTACCGCTACGGGAACAACAACAGCACCTCCGCAAAACTCCCCGCGAAGCAAATCCAGGAGTATCAACAGAAGCTCGGCTGCCTACTATTCGCAGCAGTAACCTGCCGACCCGATCTCTCTTATAGCGCGAGCCAACTGGCGACGCATCTGAAGCAGCCGGAACAAGAAGATCTCGAGGAGCTCAACCGGGCACTACTCTACTTCGTCTCCACGCCGACGACCGGGCTTACCTACAGCAAAGTAACAACACCGTCCGTACGACTACTCGGATACGTCGACGCCGACCACGCGGGAGACAGGGAAAATCGACGATCGAGAACGGGCTACATCTACCGACTAGAACCTATCGGGACTATCTCCTGGCAGTCGAGCAAGCAGGAACTAATCGCACTATCTTCGGCTGAAGCAGAATATATCGCCCTCTGCACTGCGACCAAGGAAGGACTCTACCTACGAGAGTTGCTCGAGGAAGCGAAGATCGCGACCCTGCCCGTCTTCTCACTCCTCTGCGACAACCAATCTGCGATCAAAATCGCGAACAAGGACGGCTTCGCCAACCGAACCAAGCACATCGCCCTGCGGTACTTCTTCGTCAAGGATGAAATCGCGAAGGGGAGACTTCAACACAGCTACTGCCCGACGACAGAAATGGCCGCAGACTATCTGACAAAGAAATTAGCGAAAGCAAAATTCGATTACTGCATGCTGCTGACCGGGCAGACAAACGTCACCGGATCTGAACACGTCAGCACTCCAGAAACGAAGGGGAGTGTTGGAAATATCTCAAAGGACTTAAGCGTTTCTGAAGTGTAACACTACACTCGAGGAAGATCGCAACGGGTACGCGAGTCAACGAGTCAACGGAGGTTACACGAGGGGACGGACAAAGAACGCGAAGGGACTCGAAGGGTCGCAACTGGAGGTTGCGACTGACCGTTACAACAGCGCGGATGGTAACCGAAGCGACAATCGAGTCGCTGTGCGACTCGATAACCGTTCCTGCTGTCAAACATCTGTATTTGTTATGTTTGTATAGACTGTATAGGGTTACCGCTTAGAGGGTACAACACTTAGGTATATTTGTGTGTACTCTCATCTTTACCATTATTCAATTATTCTGATATGGTATCACGCGTAGGTAGGATCCCCCCCCCCCCCCACCTACCGCTTCCGCTCATGCCCCCTAGCGCCCCTACTGGGCCCCGTCGCGCTCCTCCCAGGCCCCGTTGCGCTCCTCCCATGCCCCCTAGCGCCCCTCCTGGGCCCCGTCGCGCTCCTCCCAGGCCCCGTAGCGCCCTCCTGGGCCTCGTCGCGCCCCTCCTGGGCTTCGTAGCGCCCCTCCCAGGCCCCGTCGCGCCCCTCCCAGGCCCCATCGCGCTCCTCCCAGGCCCACTAGCGCCCCTCCTGGGCCCCGTCGCGCTCCTCCCAGGTCCCGTAGCGCCCCGTCGCGACCCTCCTGGGCCCCGTAGCGCCCCTCCTGGGCCTCGTCGCGCCCCTCGTGGGCTTCGTAGCGCCCCTCCTGGGCCCTGTAACGCCCCTCCCAGGCCCCGTCGCGCCCCTCCCAGGCCCCGTTGCGATCCTCCCAGGCCCCCTAGCGCCCCTCCTGGGCCCCGTCGCGCTCCTCCCAGGCCCCGTAGCGCCCCGTCGCGCCCCTCCTAGGCCCCGTAGCACCCCTCCTGGGCCTCGTCGCGCCCCTCCTGGGCTTCGTAGCGCCCCTCCTGGGCCCTGTAACGCCCCTCCCAGGCCCCGTCGCGCCCCTCCCAGGCCCCGTCGCGCTCCTCCCAGGCCCCCTAGCGCCCCTCCTAGGCCCCGTCGCGCTACTCCCAGGCCCCGTAGCGCCCCTCCTGGGCTCTGTCGCGCCCCTCCTGGGCCCCGTCCCGCCCCTCCCAGGCCCCGTCGCGCCCCTCCGTGGCTCCGTAGTGCCCCTACTGGGCCCCGTCGCGCCCTCCCTGGGCCCCGTCGCACCCTGCCCGACCCCGTCGCAGCCGCCCGGCCCCGTCGCGCCCGCCCGGCGCCGTCGCAACCGCCCGGCCCCGTCGCGCCCGCCCGGCGCCGTCGCACCCGCCCGGCCCCGTCGCGCCCGCCCGGCCCCGTCGCGCCCGCCCGGCCCCGTCGCAGCCGCCTGGCCCCGTCGCGCCCGCCCGGCCCCGTCGCAGCCGCCTGGCCCCGTCGCCCTTGCCTGGCCCCGTCGCAGCCGTCCGGCCCCGTCGCACCTGCCCGGCCCCGTCGCACCCTGCCCGGCCCCGTCGCAGCCGCCCGGCCCCGTCGCACCCGCCCGGCCGCCGTCCCGCTCGCCCGGCCCCGTCGCCCCAACCCGGCCCCGTTGCGCCCGCTCGGCCCCGTCGCCCCATCCCGGCCCTGTCGCACCAGCCCGGTCCCGTCGCGCCCGCCCGGCCCCGTCGGGCCAGCCCCGGCCCCGTCCTCCGCACTGGTACGGTTCCCCCCCCCCCCACCCCGCCCTGCTCCGTGCCGCCCCGCACCACACTGTACTGCCTGGCACCACACTACACCGCACTACACCACACTGCACCGCATTGTACCGCACTGCACCGCACTGCACCGCACTACACCGCACTGCACTGCACTGCACCGCATTGTACCGCACTGCACCGCACTGCACCGCACTGCACCGCCCTGCACCGCACTGCACCGCACTGCACTGCCCTGCACCGCACTGGACTGTTCCTGATGGCGGCGGAGCTTCGCTTCGACGCTGAAGGTCAGCCCCTAGAGTTCGAGGCGTGGCTTGCCGACCTCCGCCGCCAACTCACTGGTCAGCGGCAGGATGGTGAACCGCTTTCCGCACACCTTGACGGTACGCTCCCCTGCCCAGACCCCCCTGCTATCCTGCCCGCTGACCCCACACCCACTGAGCGTGAGTCTACTGCTGCCACTGCCCGTGCGCGCTCTGTCTGGCTTTCTCGCGATGCTGTTGCCCAGCTTGGCATTAGCAACGCCCTTCCCCCATCCGAGCGTCCTCGCTTTAGGTCTCTCACTACTGCTCAGGCATACTTAGATGCTGTAATCAAGCGCTATTCCACCCCTCCGGCTGCCTCGGTGGGTCGCCTGATCCTTCCGATGCTCTTTCCTGACCTTGCATCTTTCCCCACTGTCTCTGACCTCGCTGCCCACCTGCGCTCGATAGATGAGACCTGGCGCGCTGCCTGCACTGACGCCCAGCTTCGAGCCCACCAGTCGCCCATTACCTCTACCCTCTATCTGCTTGCCACCCGCCTCCCTGACCGCCTTGCTGTCGCCCGCGACCGCTTTCTTAGCGTTCACCCCGCAGACCTCACC